GTGTCATCAATCACATTCTCCAATTACGTTCTGGGTGTCATCAATCACATTCTCCAATTACATTCTGGGTATCATCAATCACATTCTCCAATTACGTTCTGGGTGTCATCAATCACATTCTCCAATTACGTTCTGGGTATCATCATTCACATTCTCCAATTAAATATATTCCCGGGCAAAAGCTCTGGTAGTTTAGTTACAATCTTTTAAAGATAAAGAGTTGGAATGGACTTTCGCCTCCAAACTGCTGCACGGCTCTTCCGGGTTGCCTTCCTCTCTTCCCACCCTCCCTTTTTTATGGCAACTACTAAAACAGGCCTAGGAATGTTTGATGAGTTGACAGAGACCTTCTGACAAGCCAAGTTAGTGGGAAAGCCGGATTCACTTAATGACCAGGTAACTCACTTAACTGGTTGGCAAGAAAGGTTGCAAAATGGGGCAAAAATGGACTTTACTAACAGGCTCTCACTTAGCAGCCGAACTTGGGGCTCAACTGTGGTCATAAACCAAGGACTTCTTATGGGGAACGTTGATACTCAGTGTGAGCCCCAGATTGGAGCTTCGTTTTTTTGAGGTAGAAAAGGGAAGCGGACGTAAATCAAGGACTGCTCAATAGACAGTCACAGTTGGGTTCAGATTTTCAGTTGTAAGTCAGGATGGTCATAAAGCAAGTCATCGCATGACCAGACCGAATTTCATGACCACGTTTACCCTGGTCACTAAGCGAATCCAGCCTTCCCGGTTGACTTTATTATTTGTCAGTAATTGTTGTGGTTCGCCGGCAGCAGGTGAGGACGGCTGAGGTCTTGGAGAGGGAGGACTCGGATGAGGGGCCTGAGTGGGACGCAGGGATGGGGCCAGGACCACCAGGGAGTGGAGTGCTGCCTTCGGAGATGGTGGAGGCTGGCAACAGTGAGGAAGAGGCCCCCGAGGAGCCTGTGCCCAGGGCACGCAGGGCTGCTTGAAGGAAAGAGCAGCTGCAACAGCACGGGCAACTCGGGAGTAAGGCTGCAAGGTAATGGCCTCTCCCTTAAGGGATAAAAGCCAGCTGAGAAACCGGAGATCTTTGCAGGAAGCAAAGACGTTTTTGCACTCAAGCCTGGTGAACGTTCGGAATATCTTGGTTTGTGTTTGGAGACTCTTTGTGTTTGAAATATTTCTTAGTAACTTTATCTAGTGTTCTTGGCAGCTTTGCACCACCTTGGCAAGGCTCCTTCTTATCAGAGACAATTAGTTTTAATACCTTTTTAACTGTGAAGGAACGGAATTCATACAGAATCATGAAAAGGTTTTGCTGTTACCTCCATTTTGTGTTTGTTTCCTTAGAACCAGGTTTGGGTCAGAACAATAATAAGTAATGATTGCCAGGTGCCCAAATTGAGATCGTGGGACTATGAGGTTGCTGTGACAGTCGTAAGTGCGAGGACAGGCCGTAAATCGCTTTTCCCAAGCCCCCTCCTAACTTTGGACCGTCGTTAAACAAAACATCGCAAGTCCGGGACTATCTTTATAAGCTCTCTCCAGCTCACCTTGTCTTTGGAGATACTGATGATGGTTTTCTTCTGCCGATTGATCATGAGGTGAGTGACAGCTGTCAAGTGGCCCTTGAGGTGAGTGATGGGACTGTTGGTGACATACGGATTCCAGATCCGGATCAGGGGATCATAGCCCCCTGTGACTGACAGGAGAGGACCAACAAATAAATAAACAAACCATGGTTTAAAACCTCTGTTATTCCTACATGCCGAGATCTCAAGGATGGATTCCTAGCCCACCGGACCAGATTGTCACTTCGAGAAGCCTCAGGCCAGCTCAACAGAATTACAAGAGTTGGAAGGTACCTTAGAGGTCTTCTAGTCCAACCCCCTGCCCAAGCAGGAAACCTTTACAGAATTATAGAATAACAAGAGTTGGAAGGGACCCTTGAGGTCTTCTAGTCCAACCTCCTGCCCAAGCAGACCTTCACAGAATTATAGAATAACAAGAGTTGGA